TTGTGAGTTTGGCAGCAGATTGAAGTGTTTATAGTTATTTTTAATGCTCTCTTTCCCTTTATCCTTTATGTTATAATAAACTGCTTGCTAACCTATTCTGATATGGAGTGCAATTTTCTGACTTTCTCTATTTATCTCCTTACTCAAAGCTTTATTTCAGGTAGGAGGGCTCCCTTCATCATTTCTTGTAAGTCAGGTCTAGTGGCAATGAACTCCCTCAGCTTTTGTTTGTCTGGGAAAGCTTTTATTTCTCTGCCATATCTGAAGGATAATTTCGCAGGACAGAGTATTCCTGGCTGATAGTCGTCTTTCAGTATTTTGAATATATCATTGCACTCTCTTAGCCTGTAGAGTTTCTGCCGAGAAATCCACTGAAAGCTTCATAGGGGTTCTTTTGTAGGTTATTTTCTTCTGCCCTGTGGCCCTTAATATTTTTTCTTTGTCACTGACTTCTGACAGTTTTAATGTTACATGCATTAGAGAAGCTCTTTTTGCACTGATGTAATTAGGAGTTCTATTGGCTTCATGTGCTTGCATGCCCACTTCCTTCCCAGGTTTGGGAAGTTCTCAGCTATTATTTCTTTAAACAATTTCTCTGCCCCTTTCTCCCTCACTTTTCACTTTGTGATACCTATAATCTTTATGTTACTTTTCCTAATTAAGTCAGATATTTCTCAAAGAATTTCTTCAGTTTTTAAAAATCTTAGTTCTCTCTCCTCCTCCACTCAGATCATTTCTAGGTTTCTTTGAGCTCACTAATTCTCTCTTCCATAGGTCTACTCTATTTTTAATGCTTTCCACATTATTTTTTTATCTCATTAATTGTGTTCTTCATATCCAGAGTTTCTGTTTGGCTTTTTTTTTTAGAGCTTCAATCTCTTTGGTGAAGTATTCTTTCTGTTAATTAATTTTATTCCTGAGCTCATTGAACTTTTTGAGTTTTCTTGTAACTCACTGAATTTCTTTATGACAGCCATTTTAAATTCTGTGTCAGTTAGATTGTAATCTTCTGTGAATTCAGGTTTGGTTTCTGGAGAGTTGACATTTTCCTTCTGTTCTGCACTCTTACTGTAGTTCTTCATGGTGTTTGATGAATTGATGCTCTGCTGGAACATTTGTGGTAGTAATTACCTTTTCTTATTTGGGTATGGCTTTAGTTACTTTGGTTTTGAGCTGCTTCTGATTGTATTTGAGAGCCTGCACTTTCCACTCTCCATAGCCTCTACCAGGAGTCTTGTCAGTGCCCTCCTTGTGCCTCCTGTGCTTCTGGGGTTGCTGGTGCCTTGCTGTTTAAATGTTACTGCAGTCTCAGGTGACACCACTGGGGTCACTAGGCTGTGAGGACTTCTTCTGCTTCCAGAGTTGCCTGGGTCTTGTGGTCTTCCACTGGCTACCCGTGGGCTCAGATGCTGCTGTCCCATGCACCACCTGCGCTGCTGTTCCCAAGTTGTCTGGGGATGATGGCTGCACTGCTGCCAGGGGCACTATGTTCACAGGTGTTGCTCTCATTGGGTGGGGGCCCAGGGACCCAGGGACTTACATGCAGCCCCTGCTGCTGGAAGAGTTGGTGTCAGGGCTGCCACCACTGGGGGCCGGGTCACCAGTTCTGCTGTGGTTCCTAATGCTTCTGGTTGCAGTTTCCACCTGCCACCAGTGGCGTGGGTGCAGGGGCTGTTATTTCTGCTCCCACCCCGTCCACTCACAGTTGTGTGGCTCAGACCAGTGCTCCATTGACCGTCACATGTATGGGGCTTCCACCAGCCACGAGCAGTGCTCTGCAGGTATTTGCGCATGTGGGGCCAGCTGCCCTCGCCTCCACTCACAGTTTCACAGGCTGCTGCATGGGGATCTGGGCCTTGGATCATTGCTGCTGGGGGAGGGGAAGGGGACTGCTCCCCTAGTTCCACTGCCTCCTGGGGTCCAATCCACCCACCTTCATATGTATAGCTGCATGGATATCTTAGGCATCATGTTGTGCTCTGTAGGGAATCCTCTGTTTGTCAGTGGATGTCTGGTTGTAATTTAGAGGGGAGAGACAAAGTTGAACAACTCACTCCACCATGATGCTGACATTACTCCCCCAAAACTTGAGAATATTTGTGGGATGAAGAGAAGAAACCAGCAAGGAGATGTGAATAGAGAGGGAACTGAGGAGGCTGAGAATTTGTGAGGGGAGAGAATGAAGACACAGGTAGGCATCAGCTTTGAATTGTGGATGGACACCTCTTCCTCTGAGATGCTCAACAGCAGCAGCTCTGGAGAGATTTTTGGTGGACATGGGATTACTTATGGAGCTCAGATTATCTGACTCTATTTCTCCAGAGTTCTGGTGCCAGAATGAGAGGTAAGTGGCTGAGAAAGAAAACAGGAGAAGGGTGGGCCCCAGGACACCAGCGAGGGTGGAGAACCAGCTGTGGGGAATGGCCTCCGGAGTCAGTAAGAGGTGACTCAGCGGTCAGCTGAGCCTGGTGGGGTGGGGAGGGGGAAGCTGGGCTTAGCTGCATGGATCTGGAAGGCCCTGCTCTTCCAGCCGGCGGATGGCAGTGAGGTGAGCAGAGGAGGGGGCTGCCCAGGGCTGGAGAAGTGAGGAATGTGGGAGAAGTTCCAGGGGAGAGAGAGTCAGCTGTAAAGTCCAAGGTCCCGGCCTGGAAGGAGGAAAGTAAGACCTGGGCAGAGGAGCAGGCTTTGAAGAGAGAGGCCAGCCAACAGAGAGGTCAGGAAGACGAGGCTGAGCAGGTGAGCAGGACTGAGGGGGAAAAGGAAGGGGATGGAGCAGATCTGAACCATGAGGACCTGTAAAGTGTCCTGCATTGTCTAATAAGAGCCGTTAGCCTCCTGGGGCCTCGCGTATGTGGTTAGTCCAAACTGAGCTGTGCTGTAAGTGTAAAGTACACACTGGATTCTGAAGACTTAGCATGAAAAAAAGAACGTTACATATCACATTAATATGTTTTTACTTTGATTGTTTAAATGATAATATTTTGGAAATATTGAGTTAAATAAAATATGTTATTCAATTAATTTTACCAATTTCTTTTTATCTTTTATTTATTTATTTATTTATTTATGAGGAAGATCGGCCCTGAACTAACATCTGCCAAGCCTCTTCTTCTTCTTCTTCTTCTTTTTTTTTTTGTGAGGAAGATCGGCCCTGAGCTAACACCTGCCAATCCTCCTCTTTTTGCTGAGGAAGACTGGCCCTGGGCTAACATCCATGGCCATCTTCCTCTACTTTATATGGGACGCCGCCACAGCATGGCTTGACAAGTGGTGCGTCGGTGCGCGACTGGGGTCCGAACCAGCGAACCCCTGCAGTGGAGCGTGTCACTTAACCACTTGCGCCACCAGGCCAGCCCCCTCCTCCTCTTTTTTTGCTGAGGAAGACCGGCCCTGGGCTAACATCCATGCCCATCTTCTTCCACTTTATCTGGGATGCCGCCACAGCATGGCTTGACAGGTGGTGTGTCGGTGCACGCCCAGGATCCGAACCAGGATCCGAACCCTGGGCCGCCGCAGTGGAGCGCGGGCACTTAACCTCTTGTGCCACCTGGCCGGCCCCTCTTTATACCTTTTTAACGTGACTACTAGAAAAATTTAAATTACACATGTGGCTTGCATAATATTCCCGTTGCTGGGCACTGGCAAAGATACTCCCTCCCGGGCCCATGGATTGTCCCTGTCATGCCTGTGGCCCCAGCACCTGGAACAGGGACCTGCACACAGAGGCCTCAGCGATGGCGTGTGTGTGTGAAGTGGAGGAGAAAGTGAATTCATGATGAATGAGAGAACGGATGAATAAGGATTCTATACGCTGTTCCAGAACGTGGTCAGGTTCTTCTAAATTGCCGAGGACTATGTGTGAGTACATACATGACTGAAAAGGAAACAGGGAGTTGGAATCGAGGAAAGCTCACCAAGGCTTTGAGGGCGGGAGTCTCAAAGAGCATCTGATGGGACCTCACCTAATATAAGGGCCGAAGAGCCTGGACCCTTGCCTCACCCCTCTTTCTTTCCTTCTAAAAAAGTACTCCTGTAGCACTTTGATATATACCAAGAACTGTCCTTGGCATTTTGCATGTACTGACTCATTTAAACTTCCCAGCACCCTATGAGGTCGGCACTCTTATTGTCTCCTTTTTACAGATAAGGAAACTAAGGCACAGAGATGGTGAGTAACTCGCCCAGGATGACCCAGGAAGTGATGGAACTGGCATTTGAACCAGGCCATCTGTCCCCCGTGTCCATACCCCTAACTCCTACACCCCCCTGTCTCTCCTATCCTGTCATCTCGCCTCATCCTCAAGCTTCTCTCCAATAGAGAAATAGGTTTCTTTTTTCTCCCTTGACTGATCTCTCTTCCACCCCTAGTCCCTCAGACCTCGTATTCCAGGAGAAAGTTCTCAATGAACCTTGCTCTCTGGAAACAATTGTGAGTAACCCCCCAAGTTCCCCACAAATGAGTCACAAACACACAACAGCTGCATGGTTCAAAACAACAGCCAAGTAACCCTGCCCCCCCATTCCTTCTGCCCCCATGCCTGAGGCTGGCCCACACCACCGTCTCCCTTCCCAGCCCAGGAGGCTCTTCTCCCAGACCAAGGATTGGCCCTCCCCGCCCTCCTGGGCAGACTTGAGGTTAGTGACTGTTGGAGGAGCCTGAGGCTTCACAGCTCCAAGCAACTGCTTTACCTGTCAGTCCCTGCGAGGTGACTACAGGGGAAAGAAGAGGGGGTTTCCAGACACCACCTTGGCCATTGCCCGGGAGATGCTCAGTCCCACCCACCAGGGACTCCATTCCAGCCTCAGCTGGGATCCCTCCAGTGACAGAGTAGCCCTGAGTTTCCACCCCTGGGAGCAGCCATAGCTCAGGATCTCCCCTTCAGGGCCAAACACAGTCTGAAGCACTAATAAGAAACCCACAGGCCATCCTCTTCTCTTTCTCCCTCTCACTAAATTGTGAATAATAATGCATTCACTTATTCTCCAAACTAAAAAATGGTTTAATTCCTTTGAAGAACTTTGCAAGGCAGCTTGGCTAGACAGCAGGCGGGACAGTCCAGTGTCTCTGGTGTGTGTGTGGGGGGGCAGGGTCTTCCACTCGCTTCTCTTTTGGTCCAACAAGTAGGCGTTTGGATTGATGGTGTAGTCTCTTTTCTGAACATCACTAGCTCTGGTGACACCCCCACATACAAACACCCTACCGTCTTCCATGGAGCATATAGCATGGACTCATCCACGGGGCAGTTATTGGGCAAGAGAGGCACTGATGTGGTCAACTTGTTGGCCTTTATCTTCTGCAGGCTGATTTCCACACTGTGCTGGTGGCTGTGCACGCAGAGGATGCTGTTCTGATTGAAAGAGAGCAGGGGCCTGTGGTTGAACTCAGTAGGGAAGGTGATACTCTGGACCACCTCTCCAGTATTGGTGTCAAAGTAGTCCACCACCCCGACCCTGGAGATGTAGCCCTTCGCCAAGCACTGCCCAGTGACAATGTACAAGTTCTGGTCACCCCTGGTGATCATGGCTGTGGCATCCATAGGAATGCTCATCTTCCCTGCCAGGCATCAGGCATCCTTGCACTCATCATAACGACAGATGTCAGAGACATACTGTCTTGGGGCAATGCTCCCACCCACTGAGTACACTGTCCCCCCACAGGTCATCATGGTGTGGAAGACAAGCCCGACTGGCAGGTCAGGGAACTTGGTCCAGGAGTTGTCATCCATGTCACACCGCCAAGCCATCTTCAGCCATGAAATCCGGTCCATGGTCCTGCCAGAGACATAGATGTAGCAACCAGTAGAGGTTGCACTAAGTGCTGCTGCCTGATAGGGCATCACTGAGAGCTTCAACCACAGGTTCTCCTGGATGATATATGCAAACACTCCATTGTTGAACTTGCCCTGGGCCTTTTGGCCACCTAAGATGACCACCGAGTCAAGCAGGGCCCCTTTCCGCTGGTGGCTCAGCAGGCTGGATGGCCTCTCCTGCTTCCGTTCCACAAGGACACTCTCAATCAGGGTTGTGTGGGCTGAGCTGTTCTCCGTGCACCTCAACTTGTTGAGGGCAAACATCAGTGTCTTATTGGAGACAGCATTAAGATTGATGTAATAAAAGAACTTCTGGAAATACTTCTCCTGCTCCTCCTTCTGGAAATACACCCAATTTAGGAGTGCACTGAGAGCCTGGTCCTCGTTGAGCACATGCAAGTTTTCATCTTGAAGCAGGCGGCCAAAGATGACAGGTGGACAGCACATGAAGCCCTCAGGCATGGAGCCCTCAGGACTGGCCCAGTAGTGGAAGTTGTCACGAATGCCAGAGTAGGCCAAGTCTGATACCTCTTTGAGCCCAAACATCTCAGCCAAGATGGGGTAGCGCAAGCAGTTGGCACGGCAGGTGGACTTAATCAGGACGTCATTGCAGTGGATTTGAAGGCGCGGTGTGTTGAAATACTGGGCCCCACGAAGGAGCTCCTCCACGTTCTGCTCCGAGATCACCACCTTGCCACAGTAGAAGTAGTCCAGGAGCTGGTCCACCGTGGCTGGACTCAGGTAGTTGGGGTCAAGGATGATAAAGAGCTCATCAGTGGTCTTCACATCATGGCTAGAGATGAGGTTCTTCACTGGAGAGATGTTGTGATGTGCATAAAAGACATGGTGGTCCACAGTCAAGGCCATGTCCCAGTACTCATTGCGTTTCCTCTGTTCGTTCAGTTTCTGCAGCAGGAAGGTGTCTTAGTTTTTCTCAGTGAATTCCAATTCCATGGTGCGTCTTGCTAGCTGAGGCAGATGAGCAGCAGGTACTGGAGAAAAGACTTTCTCAGGCTGTTGGGATTGAGAATGATGGTTGTTTGCAGAGCAATTGACTGGAGAGGAGTGAAGGGTGGGAGAGAGGATGATGTCACAGAGTCGATGAGGTCATCACAATGCAGGTCCCCCTCAGGCCTTTCTCAGAGGCTTAGGGCCTTTCTCCCCTCTGATGGTTCCAACCTGCCAGGGCCAGATACCCTGTCAGGACCTAGTGCCCAGGGCCCAGAGCTGAGGCGGAAACTCAGAGATGGGTTGTGACTCCCACCCAGGACCTTCAAAGCCCCTTCTGGAATGTCAGAGCCTGTTGGACAGAGGGTGGTGTAAGGAGGGATAAGGGCAGACTGGGGGAAGGAAAGAGATTATTAGATCATCCAGAAGAATCCTCCCATTGTACAGGAAGGAAACTGAGGCCCAGACAAGAGAAGGGACTTGCCCACGATCACACAGCCAGTTGGAAGTAGAGCAGGACCTGGAAGCCAAGCCTTCTGTAACTTAGTACTCTGTCTACCCTTCCAGGAAGCTCCTCACCACTCAGCTTTCCCCAGCCTCTGATTCTCAGGCCTGGAAGTACCTTTCTGCCCCAAGGTTCTGGCCGTCAGAGAAGAAAGGCTCTGTCCTTTGGCTTCTGACCTTTGTGGCCACAGACACCACTCTTCTTTAACATAGAGGGAGAGGTGGAGGCCACTCTCTGGAGCAGGGATGCTAGGGTTAGCATCCAGTGAGTGGGGATGGGAGGGCCTCTAAAGCCCTGATCATTTCAATTCCACGGCAAACCAGGACATCCTCTGTGTATTCCCAAGTCTCTAGCTGTAAAACGCGGGGGCTCTGGGGGTCAGCTCTCTCCATCAAGTGTGGACTTGGACAGGTTGCTCAGCCTCTCTAAACCTCAGTTTCCTCATGTGCGAGATGGGAATAACAGTACCGCTTCAAAGGTTGTCAAAAGTTTAAATGAGAAAATGGCTCCAGAGCGTTAGCACCATTTGGCTCACAGCAGATGTTCAGTAAACACTAGGTGCCATACTGTTGTTCCTGCCGTGGAGTGGATTCGGACTCCTAGCCACCGCGTGTACAGCAGAGCGGAACCCTGCCCGGTCTTTTTGCACCATCCTCTCACCCGTGCTACATCAGACAATACTCTGTTGCTATTCGCAGTGTTTTGGTGGCCAGTTTTTTTGGCAGTGGGTGGCCAGGTCCTTCTTCCTAGTCTGTCTTAGTCTGGAAGCTCTGCTGAAACCTGTCCACCATGGTGGCCCTGCTGGTATTTGAAATCCCGGTGGCATAGCTTTCATCACAGCAACACACAGCCGCCACAGTATGACAACTGACTGGATGGGTGGTGTGGTTCCGTGAGTGGGAAACGAACCCAGAGTGACGGGTGGCGAGAGCGCTGAGACTTCACCACCAGACCAGGAGGGCTGGCTGCCTGCTGCCATTACTTTGATTAATATTGTATCAGTTCGTCCAGAGCTGTCATTCCTGGCTGCTCCCTTCACAAATACTTGTCGTTGTGGTTGGTGCTTCTCGTTTCGCGGTCGTGGGGAGTCTGGAATCCTCCGGCCCCTCTGGGCGGACTCCCTGAGCCAGCTCCTGCCACGCGGTGGGGCTGGAGAGTCACTTCCTGCCTGCAGCCCGCGCGCCGCCTGCGCCCCGGCCCCGCCGCAGTCTCTCCGAGCGGGGAGAGCAGCGCAGTCTCCCCTTTTCCGCGGGGCTTCCAGGCGCCTGCGGCCCCGGGGCAGAGGTCAGCTCAGGTCCGCCAGCCACGACCCGGGAATTCAAATGGCAAGGCGTCTCACGATCACCACAAGACACGCCTGTGCCCACTTTACAGAGGGGAGTACTGAGCCCGAGAGGGCGTGCGCAGGGTCGGGCAGCCAGAAAGCAGCAGCCTGAGACTGGAGGAGTCACCCATCGTGCCCCGCCGGGTGGGGTCCTCGCAGGCTAGGTCAACTCGGATGCCCGCCTCGGGCGGGCGCGGGGCCTCAAGAGTTCCCAGGGTGCGCCTGTGCCAAGGAGAGGAAAAGGGCCAGCCAGAGCCCCCACAGAGGGGTCCCCACCCAGCTCCGCCTTTGGGGGCTCCCAGGAGGGGGCTCAATACGCAGGCCCTGGCGGCATTAGCCAGACGGGGGCCAGAGGCCTGGGGCTCGGGCCCCGCCCCTGATGCTCTAGCCCGGGCCCTAAACCCCACTCTCAACCCTCAGGACGTCCTCAGTGCCCGTACCAGGAAAGTTCAGTGTCACTAGGAGGCTGGGGGATGTGAGCCTGCCAACTCCTTTCCTTCCTGGGTTAGTCAAGTTCTCATTATTCACTGTCTCTCTCCCTCATCTTTTGATTCCAGACCTCACCTTTTCTTTATTTGGGGATCTGGTAATTCGAAAATTATTGCAAAGCACCTACCTTTTAATGCTGAATTCGTTCACCTTGATGCCTGAAGGGCATCTCAGTCTCTTGAGATATCTCTCTGCAGAACGCTAAGAACTTGTCTTCCCCATAGGAGGAAGGCTTAAATTCAGCTCCTCTGCCACAGACCAGCTGTGTGGCTTAGGTGAGTTCCTCTGGGTTTGTTCTCTCCCTGTGGGAATAACTGAGCTCTAATTGCTTCTCCAGCCCTGATCTCGTGAGAGGCCGCAGCGACTTGGGCAGAGGATGAGGCCTCTTGGTGCTGATGAGACACCTTCTCACTCTCCTTGGCCTCCAGGCTTGCCCTTAAGAGAGGCTGGCAGCTGCCACCTCCTGGAGCATCTCTACCCAGGAGCAGGGGATGCACGGACCAGGCCCTGCTGCTTCCCTGCTCCTTGGCCTCCACACCCTCCAGCCTTGGGGGCATTTTGGTGGAGGTGGCTGTGCTTCTTTGTGTTTGTTTCAGACCCCAAAACACCAGAGCAGGAAGGTCTCTCATCAAATGCTTCCATCTAGTTAAGAAATTTGGGCCTAGAGGGTGTCATGGAGACCTGAGAGGATCCAATAGACCTAACTCCATGTGCCACACCTTGTACAGCTGGACAAATTGGGGCCCAGAGAGGGGAAGGGGCTTGCTCAGTTCAGAGCGCACAGAACTAGGGTTTGCAGCCAGGGGTCCTAACTCCTTTCTCTGCCCTCTGGCTGCAAAGGAGAGCTGCCAATCTGGCTTGTCCTCTGCTCTTCTTGCACTTGTGGGAGTTGCTGTCTTTAAGAAATCCATTAAAGAAGTGAGATTAGTGCTCACCTGCTCAGCCAGCTTTGTTGTCTGGCATTTCCTTGGCCTGGAAAGTTCCCCTCGTCAGCTTTTTCCTTACTGCAGCCTAAAGAGGCTGGCTGCATGTCAGTGTCCACCACCTGGTTGTGTGTGTGTGTGTGAGTGTGTGTGTTGGGTGGAGAGTGTCTCTAGGAGCCACCAGGAAGTTGACTGGTCAGAGTTCCTGTTGCTCCTGGTGGCTGCTCGGGTGTGGCCAGAAAAGGACCTAAGCCCAAGGCCCTCAGCTAGGTCTCCTTATCCCATCCATCCTCAGCTTCCTGCCCAGCTCAGCATTTTCTGTTCATTTCTGTTCCCCCTAGGGGAGGGGACCCTAATATTCTAACCTTCTGGGGACCATCAGTTGATATATCAATTTGTTGGGAAGCCTGAAGAAAATGAGGGGCATGTTTTAAAGATATACAGATTAGGCCTGGAACTAGAAATCTCAGGATGGGTCTTTCAGAATCTGTACCTCTTTTGTACCTCTAACTGGGTTTCTCACTTCTATATATTTCCCGCTTATAACTTGGCTTACATATAGCTTTGGCTTGCTATGGCCCGAATTCAAACTCATGGCATCATTTTTTCAGTTCCACTGGTCAATTCTCCATAATCCTTAGCTCAAATTCCTGGTCCATGGCCAGCCCAGGAATTGGCTGCCCTTGGATCATGTGTCACTCTAGTCCAATCAGCTGTGATGGTAGGTCACATGGTTTAAAACATGGAGCACAGTCTACAGTGGAGAGGTTGGAGGTATTCAGAAGCTTGAGTTACCTAACACAGGAACTCAGAGTTATGGATTACCTTAGTCACTATCCCTGGTGAAATGAAGGGCACAGCATGCAACTGTGTTCACAGGGCAACACAGACCTTCAGGAAGCATGTTTCAGAGACTGGTCTGCTGAGATTCCTGTCTGTAAGCCGGCAACCCCCAACTCTCGCTCCTGCTATCTTACCTCCTGGACATACCATGGTTTCAGGGACACTCAGCTTGGTATCCGGGTCGGTCCCTTCCACATGGACCATGTGATACTGTTATTCAGGGGAACTCTGTGTAGTTTGAGGCAAAACACAGAACCAAACTAGTGACTCTAAGCCCCCACATGGGCTATCTCTCTGGAACATTTGGGCCTGTCACACACTCTGGGGGAAGCAGCTGAGGCCACAGCTGCCAGAACCAGGCCTGGGCTCCCGCCCTGTGTGCGGGGGGAGGGCAGAGGCTGGAGGGCTTCCTCTGGGTCCCGGAGTGAGCTCAACCTCACCCCCACGCTCACTGACTTCATCCATCCAAGGCCAGTTGGCCAAGAGCCCAGGCGTGTGAGGGGCTCCTTCCCAGAACAGGCCCTGGGCCACCTAGCAGAGGTGGGGGAGGGGCGAGCTTCAGGCCTGGCCCAGCTCCCCAGAAACCAGGAGGCATACTGAGCTCTGAAACGCCAAGAGGAGTTTAAGAAAAAAGGAGGGGGGCAAGGGGTAGGGGTGGTACTTTGCTATTTAAAGGTAGAAAAATGCAAGGAAGTAAAGTTTGTTTCTCCATCTGTTCTTTGGCGATCCCCTTAGAGGATTCCAGGAGGCATGTGGATGACATCAGGTCTCACGACTGAGAAATCCCAATCTGTGAAACAGAGCCTCTGCCTGCCCCACCTTTCCAATGGAAGCTGCTGTATATTTATGTGTTTAAAACTGTATTTTGTGTCACATTTAAATGAGGGTTTAATTTTCTTAAATATCTACCAAAAGTAGATTACAATGCATGAAGATCACATAAAATGAACTTCACTTCTTAGCATCACAAACATGTGGAATACAAAAAGTCCAAGGATGGATATTATAAGTAACAAAGATACAAAAGAAGTTTGCTTAAAAAATAACAAAAAAAGTTTAAAAATTGATTCCCCACCCCCAAAGTCCAAATAACTGTGGTCTAGGTAACCATCAGGGTAAAGCCTTCACATGCTCATTCTTTTGACAAGAATGAGTTCATGCAGAGCTGTATATCCAAGTGTGTGTGCAAGAGACACTCACATGCATCACACACACAAGCACATACACTCACAGGGACAGGCACGCAGCTGGCTTTTTGTTGTTCTAGGCACTTCATATCTATGTTCTTAAGTCTGCCACCTTCCCATTACATTTGACAAATTACTTCTTTGGAGGCAGGACATTTTCTTCGAAGAAGCCCTGGTTAACAACATTCCCCGCTGGGAAGTATCTGGCAACCACGAAGGAGGATCCATCACTTGCAGATGCCTTCCCCACGCCCATCTTCTTTGTATTCTTCCATACCATGGCTGTGAAGTGTCCTGTAGGGGAATAGGTGGGGGAGAGGGAAACAAGCTAGTCAGCAGAGCCTGGAGAAGGATGGTTTAAGGGATTCTTGAACCCCCGCACCATCTTGCCACGCTCAGGGAAGCTTGATCTTCACAGACACCAGTCAGAAGAAGGAGACACAAAACACACTGACTGACTGACTTTCTGAAGCCTCAGGTCCTCTCCATCAGCCACACAGACCCTACTCACCTCACCACTTTCTGATGCCCAAAGGTTTTGTGGTCTCCCAGAGATCATGACAAAGCCCCGTGACCCCAACAATTAGGACGCCACCCTACCTGTACTCTACTCTGTACACCCCACAAACTGTCTGCTTCAAGATCACCAACGATCTCCATGTTCCTCCCCAGTGGTCACTTTTTGTCTTCATCTTACTTGACAGCTCAGGAACATTTAATAGGGTCGACTCCTCCCCTTTTCAAAGCACTCTCCTCTTTTGGTTTCCATGATGCCACCCTCTCTTGGCATTCCTCCCATCTCACTGCCTCTTCCTCCTCCGCTTCTATCTTCCTTGTAAATGTTGGAGGACCTGCATTTCCCAAGGCTCAATCTGGGCTCTCTTTTCTTTTCTTACTGAACTCTTTGGGCAGTAAGAAATTTCATCTTTCCCTGGCTTCCAAATTTATTTCTCCTGCCCGAATCTCTCCTGTGTTCCAGACACAATGACTTACTCAACATTTCCACTTGGATGACTCACAGGCATCTCCAATCTAACCTCTCCAAACCTCACTCTTGATTTTGGTCCCCCCAGAGTCACTCCTCTCTCTTCCCTCCCATTTCCATTAACGGTACCTCTAGGCACACAATCCTAGGAGTTGGTCTGCATTCTTCCCTCTCTCTCATTTTCCCCACAACAACCCATCATTCAATCCTGAAGAATCTAACTCCAAAATACATCTCAAGTCCATCCACTCCCCAAACCTTGGTCCCAACCACAAATTTTTTTCACTTGGATCACTGCAATAGCCCCCAATTGGTTCTCTAGTGTTCACCTTTGCCTCCTCCAATTCACTTTCCACTTAAGTAGCCAGAATGATCATTTTGAGACACAAGTCATATCTTTTTACTCTTCTGCTTAAAAATCCTTCGATTACTTCCAATTGCACCTAGAATGAAAGTGAATGCTTTGGCCCAATGGCCTCCTTTCCATTCCTTGAACACATCTGGTTATTTCCCACCATGGAGCCCTTGCACACACTGGCTACTGTGTGGAATGCTCTTCTGATGATCAACATCTTCTTGTCCCTTAGGTCTCAGCCTAAATGTCACTTGTCCAGAGAAGCCTTTCATAATCACTTTTTAAATTCCTGGACACTTCCCTCCCAAGATAGTCTTATTGCACCCTGTTTTTCCCCTCATAACATTCTTACCATTTGCAATGATATATTTGTTTGATTACTTGATTTTGCTTGGCTCCTTCACTAGACTATGAGCCCCACATGGGCAGAGACCAAATTGTTTTATTCACTAAAGTATACCCAGTACCTGGGCACAGCCTGGCACATGAAAAGTGTAAAATAAACCTTTGCTGAATGAATGGATGGAATGAAAGAGCAAATAAATGAAAGGCAGATGGAACAACCATCTTGGACTTGGGTTCTGCCCTCACTGGAAGTGCAGGCTTTCTATGTTTTAAGCTCTTTGAGACCTTGACAAGTTAGAGCCTCCTTTAATTCCCTCTGCTCTGAGCCAAATAGCCCAGTGCCTTCTCAAGGTCCTCCCTGACCCTCTAGACACTTCTGCAGCTTGCTGAAACTTCTCAGCATCAATCTACCATTGCTCAGGCTACCTGCCCCTTACTCACTGGTCCTTTCAAGCTGCTAACATACCTTAGCTTCCAATACTCCTCTCACTTGGGGTCAAAGAGTTGATGCCATAATGTACTCTTTGCTCAATGACCATAAATTTTCATCTCTTGGGGGTAGATGTCAAGAGTTTATCCCTCTCACTGGGGATATCCCATCTCCCTCTTTACTGTTGAGAACTCACAGAGATCCTTTGACAGGTCAATGCGGTATTTACTTTCATGTCACAGGATGGTATTCATTTGCTAAAAGGAGGAGGAAAGAGATTATGTTTCCTCCACGAGGGCAGGCACCATGTCTGTCTTATTGACCACCAGATCCCCAGTGTTTAGCACTGGGCTTGGCACATGGTAGATGCTCAATAAATATCTGATGAAGAAAGGAAGGGACAGATGGAAGGAGGAAGGAGAAAAATTGTGATCAGAGTAGCTAAGCTTCCCACGGGGTGGTTAAGAAAGAGACGGTATCCATCCCATTAGGATGGATATTATTTAAACAAAAACAGAAAATAACAAATGTGAGGATATGGAGAAATGCACAAGAAACCCTCGTGCATTGCTGATGGGAATATAAAATGGTGCAGCCGCTGTGGAATACAGTATGGTGGTTCCTCAAAAAATTAAACATAAAATTACCATATGATCCAGTAATTCCACTTCTAGGTATACAACCAAAAGAATTGAAAGCAGGGTCTCAGATGTTTGTAGACTCATGTTCACAGTAGCATTATACACAACAGCCAAAAGGGACCAAATGTCCATCAATAGATGAATGAGTAAACAAAATGAGTGAGTGAACAAAATGAATGAGTAAACAAAAACAAATGAGTAAACAAAATGTTGTATATACATACAATGGAATATTATTCAGCCTTAAAAAAGAAAGAAATTCTGGGCCAGCCCGGTGGTGTAGTGGTTAAGTTCACATGCCCCGCTTTGGCGGCCCAGGGTTCGCAGGTGCGGATCCCAGGCACGGACCGGTGCACTGCTTGTCAAGCCATGCTGTGGTGGCGTCCCATATAAAGTAGAGGAAGATGGGCATAGATGTTAGCCCAAGGCCAATCTTCCTCAGCAAAAAGAGGAGGATTGGCAATGGATGTTAGCTCAGGGCTAATCTTCTTCACAAAAAAAAAAAAAAAAGGAAGGAAATTCTGATACATGCTACAACATGGATGAACCTTGAGGACATTATGCTAAGTGAAATAAGCCAGACATAAAAGGACACATATTGTATGATTCCACTTATATAAGGTACTTAGAATAGTCAAATTCATAGAGACAGAAAGTAGAATAGTAGTTACCAGGGCTTGGGGGGCGGTAGGGAGTTATTGTTCAACGGGTTCAGAGTTTCAATTTGGGATAATGACAAAGAAGTTCAGAGATGGATGGTGATAATAGTTGCACAACAATATGAACGTGACTAATCTTACCTGAACTGTATGCTTAAAAATGGTTAAAATGGTAAATTTTATGTTAAGCATATTTTACCACAAAAGAAAGAAAGAGAAAAAGAGAGAGAGGCTGGTATCCACACTCTGCCAATCCTTCAGAGAAGAGATAAAGCTGACACCTCCCACTGTGTCTCATATATGGTAAGGACAGAATAAATGTTCACTGATTAAACTGTATTTTTTCCCCTACAGTTGAACTCCATTTTTATAATTTTTAAATTTAGGTAGAGTTTATTTCTTTGTCTACATCTACAAAAGATTTGAGGTTACTAAATTCTTTACGAAAATAGTCAAACATGAACCCTAATAAATCAGTAGAGCTGAGTGATACAATCAAAGCAAGAAGGAAAAGAAAACAAACCCGAAGCACAATTGTGCATCTTTACCATTTACCCTTCAACTTGTATTAACCATTGCCCAATAAACTCTGATTCTTACCTCAGAATAAAGGAGGAGCACTTCTTGCTAATTCAGTCTTGGTCCTTACTGCTTTTGAGTCACAGCTCCAGGCTTCCGGCAGCTCTGCCAGGTGCCCTGCTTCTATAGGCTCGAGTCCTTTTGCATACAAGCCTTTCCTCTCAAGAGACTACATACTTTGGCCAGTGACCCACCCACTCTCTGTTGCCTAGACAGGGAAGAGCTGCCATTTATCCTGGTGGCCAAGACAATGATTACACACACAACATGCATATCAGCGACATGAATGCCTGGGGAAGCCTTTTCCAAACAGAGGGGGCTAGTCATCTTTCTTCTGGCTGGGGAGGTTTCTGTCTGCACAGAGTTAATTAAGAATGAGTCTTCAGAAATGAATTAAAGGACACAACTTCCTTAGCAACCATCATATACACACTGGTTTCTAACTCTAAACTACTACCAACCTTCCCTTTTCTTTTTCTTCCTTTCCTAACGGGATCCATCCTCTTTCCTGCTATGGACCCATACTTCCTAGAATATATCTTTGAAAAACACATTAAATAAGTTACAGTATATCCTTGCCAGAGAATAATGTGCAACAGTCAGAAAGAATGAGAAAGCTCTTTTTGTATTGATATAGAAAAATCTCTGCCAGTCTGTTGTGTGAAGAACACAAGTGCAAAACAGATCATACATCTGACACCAGAGCATAAAAAATGGAAAAAGAGAACATATATACACAAATGCTGGTGTAAGATCAGAATGAGCATAGAATGAAGCACAGGAAACTGGTATCACTGGTTGGGAGGGAAAGTGCTGGAGGCCAGGGAAGGCCTGTATACACTATATACAGCTTGCAAATTTCATGTCCTGTAAAAGCATTACTTATCCAGAATAGATAAACAAACCTACTCATTAAAATAGAATATAACAAAGGAATTGCAAGAAACTGTGTCCCTCCACTCAGCACAGAGCATAGAACTGTGTCCTTCATCACGAGACGCTGACTCAGGGTGGGGTGGGGATAGATTATAGGATATTTCAAAGGCCTGTTCACCTACAACATGGACACGGGGAATCCCTGAACAGTAGTGCAGCAAGAAGAGCTCTGGGGAAGGCTGAGGCATGGGGGATGGGCCTGAGGCTCTTTAAGGGTCTCGCAAGCCCCGAGTATCCCACCACCCAAAACCGCGCTCATGTCTGTCCCCAGGCATTGCTCAGTGGCACCTGGGATGCCAGAGGGCCTGGTTGCTGTGAAGGTTTCCTCTGTAGGGTGGGAGATGCGGGGCAATGGGTGGGACAGGAGGTCAGTGACCACGGAAAGCCGAGTCCCATTCCTAGTTGTGACACTTGTGAGACTCCTGCCTTGGAGCAGGGGCCATGGAAAAAGCATCAGATTGAGGATAGAAGGTATAAAAGAAGTCTCTTCTCCTTTCTGGGCCTCAGTTTCCTCCTCTGCAAAACGGGTGGAATAAAGCCCTGCCTTCAAATGGTGCTGCGAGGCTTACGTGGCCATGGACGTGGAGGCGCTTTATAACTGTCAAGTGCCATGCACACCTGAGCAACACTAGGAACTTGCTCTGACACATGTCTAATTGCTCATGAATCTTGCTTATGGGAAAAGCAAATCCAGATACTATGAAATAAAACATCTTCTGGACACTGATCTTTATGGAAAGAAGACAAGGTTCTGCCGACACATCCTTAATCCCTGAGTGGAGGTTGTTACTGTTCCTCCCTCACTCCTCAGATTGAAGTGCCACAGGAGCACCAGTTCTCACTCAGGGCCCTGACAGCAGCCTCCTCGTCCCAGGCCTGCTGTGCTGAGAGGCGGACACCTCGGCAGATGCTCTGCTCCTGCCGCATCGTCCTGCTCACACGGTTGCAAGAACCCTTGCCCAAAACGCTGAGCAGTAAACCACAGGAAACTGGCGACTGGCTCTGAGGACATGTCACTTCCTACTTCTGAAGAATCCTCCAGGGGTGAGGTGACAGGCCATAAGTGGCCCCACCCATGGGTGGGGCAGACAATCCCCTTTTCAGTTTCCCTGGTGCCTTCTGGTCAGAAACTCACAGCCCCTTCCAACCCATCCTGGGCCCCAGGCAAGTCTGAGTTGGTTCTGAGGAAAGACAGGAGCCTGGGGAGGCCTGGGAAGCAGCAGGCAAGAGGGAGCCCTGAGCTCAGAGCGGCGGCCTGGGCTAAATGTTTACTGGTCACCGCAGAGGCCTGTGACAAAGGACGGAGGGTCCCATGGCCGGCTCCTCCCAGCATCTAAACACCAGTTCTCAGAATGTCCTGTAGAGGACATCACCTTGTCCCTCTCCCTCAGGGACAGGGAAGGACAGGGAGTTCACACAATTAATAGTGCCAGAGCTGAGACTAGATCCAGGCTTTCTGCATTCCAAGCTCCCCTGAACCACAAACTAGAGCATAAAGGTGAAGCGAGATTGCCTGGGAGCCCCTAAGACATGTGGCGGACAGCAGGAAGGAGGTGGGGGTGTGAAGGGAAGAGGGAGTTAAGACCAGGAGACAAGCGAGCGAGCAGCTTGGCCCTTTTCCTGATGGCCCCAGGGAGCCACTGGCAGTTTACTCAGGACAGCAAAATAGGCAGAGAGGGTTTTAGAATATTCTGGCTGCTGGGGAGCAGGCTGGATTGGATGGGAGCAAGACTAGAAGTAGGTGACCAGTTAAAAGTGCTGAGTCACCAGTTCTGGAGAAAAGCACCACAGCAGCTTTTAAAATCCACAGCCTCCTTACGACACACTCCAGTCATCTGAAGAACTCTGAGCTGCTGGGGCAGGAATCAGCAGCTTGGGTGCTCTTAGATGGGTGTGTGTGTGTGTGTGTGTGTGTGTGTGTGTGTGTGTGTGTGTTAGGAGAGGTGTTGGGGAAAGAGAGTTTTTCCTTTTGGGCAAAGTCAAACCAGAAAAATATGGAAGAGGTAAAATAGGAAGGAAATGATTGATTTTCAGAGGGTTAGTTCCCCTCCAAAGTCAGACACCCAAACTGCAACCCTGCCCAGGGCCAGGCCACTGGTGTGACCCTGTCACTCACCAGTCCCGGAGGTGAAGCCAGGCTGCTGAAAGTTGTAGTTCTTGATTTCACTGTACCATCTGTCGGCCACCTCCTTTCCTGTATGGAAGAGACACTGTTTAAAACTCAGTAGCAAAGTCCACCCACCCCCGATTCCTTCCATCTTCTCCCAGGAACCGGAACCACCCATCACACAACTGGACATCTGATAAAGCCCCAACCAGCTGCAACAGGGACTCCTGCCCACGAGCTGAAGTGGAGGCTGAAGGGGAGGCCTTGTTGGAGGCTGCGAAGAGCCCTGGTCTGGGGTCAGGGGAACTGCATCTGTGTCCCCACCCTGCCACTAATTCACTGTGTACTTCTGGGCAGGGCCTTCCTCTCTCTGGGTCTCTGCACAAAAGGGTTGAATGCAATGTACCCCAAGGGCTTCTGATGATGCTCAGAGTTTCTGGGAGACTCTGCTCTATCCCACCCCAAGTCCAGCTCCTGAAACATCCCCAGGAGGAACAGCAATTGGGCTGGTGGGCCAAGGTCTCCATTGCAGGCAGAAGCCTCCTCACTTGGAGCGTCCACTGGCCCAGGAGGTGTTGACAGGAGAAAACCGACAGCATTTCCCTGGGAGATGCTGATCTCAGGGCAGAACTAGGAGCCTCTGATCTCAGAGCAAAAGTCTTGAACTTTAGTGTGTGCACAAATCACCTGGGCTCTTGTTAAAATGCAGATTCTGCCTTCAGCAGGTCTAGGGTGGGGCCTAGGAGTCTGCATTTCTAACAAGTTCCCAGATGCTGTTCCTAGTCCACAAGGCCTTAGAGAACAGTGGCTACACACTGGCCTGGGCTCGGGAGCATTTACAGATTACTGATGCCTGGGGCCTGCCATAGACTAGTCGTATCGGTGTCTCTGGAGGAGAGACCCAGGCATCCGTATGTTCTAACAGCTCCGCAAAAGATCCCCCAGCGTGCAGCAAGGGTGGGGAACCGCTGCCTTAGAAACGGCATACCCAACTCCCTCTCTGTAGAGACAGCGAACCTGGGGCCAGAGAGGGGAGCGGCTTGCTCAAAGTTCCACAGGGAGCCAGCGCAAGACTGGGGTGGAACCACGTCTCCTGCAGGCTCTTTCCCATCCCTCTCCCTGCTCCTCGGGCCCACTAAGGCCCCCAGCCTGGGCCTGGGGAGGGGGCTGCGGGCTGCGGGCTGCGGGCTCTGGCCTGCTTCAGGAGCATGCGCACACCTCTCCCGAGGGCCGAGGGCCGCTGCGCCGGGGAAACCGAGAGGACTCTCGCCCAGGAAACTCCCAGGAATGTGGGCCGGGAGGGAGGAGTCATTCTCCCGCCGGGGTTTGGAGATAGCTTCAGAGAGCGAGGTGGCTCTCTCCAGCATTTTTCCTAAAAAGCCCCAGCAGCCTTGTTAGAGCCCGGAAGCTCCAGAACGCCTGGTCAGGATGGTGGGATCACCATTCCAGGCTGCGACCCTGGATGGAGGAAGTATCTTCCCCAGCATTTTTTTTTCTAACATGAACAAAGCTCTATTGTGTTTTTCTGATGATAAAAGTTAATACACCAGCGCTGTGAAAAAAAAAAAAAAAGAAAAGAAACGAAAAATGTGAATAAAATAAAATTCTTCTGTAGCTGGGGCTACTTCGGTGCCCACAGGGTCAGGCTGAGACTCTGCACAGAAACCGTGTCTCCCCCACCCCCACTCCTCAGCGGGGAGCTCTTCCGGGCAGTCTGACTCATCTGTGTCCCTGGCACCCAGCACTTGCCTGGCCCTGAGCTGGTCACCAGAGACCTTGTGGTGAACTGCAGTCAGGCCCTGGGAGCACAGAGAGCACTGGGGTGCCTTTCCCTTTCTGGGCCTGTGGCTGCACCTCCACAGCGGCACCGCTACACCACGGAGGGCACTGGGGCCAGAAGGGGCCTGATGTCCGAGATCCTAGACCCAGCTCAGGCAGACAGGCCAGGAGCTGAGAAAGCGACCCACCTGTCTGATCGTAGGATGCCCACGCCAGGTTCTCTCCGCATTGGCCACGACTGGACTCCGGGCTGTGCTTGAGGATCCTCGTGCTGGCTAGAGCCTCTGAATACCTGCCAGAGTTCACCGGGAGTCCTCAGAGCGGGCTCAGCCCAGGGAAGCCCTGAAGTATGAACCCTCAACCGTGTGGCTGAGCTTCTGTCCCCACCCCGGGCTCACCGAGGCAAGCAGGAGCATCACACCAGCATCTCTTCTGAGCCCCCAACAGCCCCGTTTTACGGAGGAGCAAACTGAGGCTCAGACGAACAAAGGGGCCTGGCTCAGTAAGTGGCAGAGTATTATTTAAGCCTGGCTTATCTGTCCCCAAAAGCCACGTCCCTCCAGCCTCCCAGAGCCCCTCTGTGACTGCGGCAGCAGTGCCGTGAGGGCCCAAGTCACCCTGGGGCTCTTGGGGGACTCACTGCTGAGCCTCCTGGTTGAGCTTCTTGCAGAGCTTCAGCGGGGGGACACCATGCTGCTGCCGGTACTCGTTGTGGGCCTTCAGGACCTCGTTATTAAACTGCTTGGAAGCTGCAGTGATTTCAAAACGGAGAACGTCTCAGTGCAGAGAAAAGACTCGCCAAAAGTATGACAGCAGGCTTCAGAGGACGCCCGGCTCAAACCTCAGGCCACACGGACAGGCTGCTGCTCGCCTTCAGCAGCCCAGCCAGAGGGGTAACCATGACACCCTGCTCCCCACCTTTGCTCATCCTGTCCCCATCCCTGATGGCACCCTCCGCATCTCTACACAGCTACACCCCATGGATGATGCAGGGTTGCATGGGCCACCTTAGGGATTTGGGTCTTTATCCAAGGCAATGGAAGCAGGGGAGTGAGCTGATGGGGTCTGTGTTTCGGAAAGATGCTCTGACTGCTGCGTGGAGGACGGGCTGGAGGTGCAGAGCAGATGCTGGGGGTTGGACCTCCTAGACTGGACCTATGGTGTCTGGGAGGGACTGCAAAGGGCTGGAGGTGGGAGCCCAGAGACAACAAGCCTGGCTGGGGTGGAGAGGTGCCCACACTGGTCTGGAGAAACCAAGAAGACAGGGGGACAGATGAAGAAAAGAGGACCAGGGCCGGGCAGAACTGAGGAAGTAGAACGAGGGGAGAGTGTGGTGGTGGTGGCGCTCAGGGTGTGATCAGCTGAGCCCAGGGTTGCAGTGAGGGAAGAGGTGGAGCCTCTGCCCACCTGGGTCATGACCTCAGAAAGGACAAGGTCAAGGGGGCTGGAGTTAGGGAGAGAATAAGTGGGTGAAACCAAGGGCAGGAAAGGTCAATAGTGGACAGAAGTCACGTCAATTTGGATCTGAAATGGAACCCCACCCACCCAACATCCTCCATCCATCTCTCCACCACTCATCCATCCATCTGTTGATTTGTCACCTATCCAGCAGCAGCATCCATCCAATCCCAGTCCATCTATCTGTTTATCTGCTCTCTGAGCACCTTGTCTGAGCCAGGTTCTGTATTGTGTGCCAGGTGCCCAGAGACAGATCAGCTGTGTCCTGCCCTCAAAGAGCTCAGACACAGAGGGAGACAGCCTTGTAAACAGACACTAGCAAACAGTGTGATAAGCGCCAACGTGCAGATGAGCACAGGTGCAAGAGGAACCTGAAGAGCAACCTACCACGGTCTGGGGGATCAGGATGGTGACCCCAGATTTGAGGCCCCAAAGATGTCTGGACAGGAGCTAGCCAGGCTAAGATTGTGAAGGCACCAAGTGCTGGCCTTAGGAATCTGGGAGTGCCTGTGTTCCCCCGCCCCCCTGTGGAAATGAGGATGAGTTATGAGTGAGGGCCACAGAGGGCCCTTAAACTGAGCTAGTCCCGTCTGCCAGGAGCCTGTCCCCGAGGCCTGGCTGTAGGTGAGGGCAGGAAGGTGTAAACCGGAGGGTGACAGAAGCGCCACTCCTGCCACTGCCCCAGGTCTCCTTCACCAGTGGTCCTTCCCCTCTGCTGCCCTGTCACCCCAGAGGCTTAAGTGATCCAGCAGGGAGCCTCCTTCCCCTCACTCAGCCAGACCCCCGGGTCTCCTGAGCCTTCAAATCAAATCCCTGGGCCCTTGAGGGAGCATGAGAGGAAGACCAGGGCTTGCCCTCAAGGGGCTTTGGGCTAGATGCACGCCCAGGAGAGGTGAGGGCACCCGCAGCTCATGCCAGCAGTGGCCAAGCTGTCCAGGGGGATTCCGATAAATTCAAGAGTGAGTGGTACTGACCTCGAGGACTCTGGGGCCCGGCAGGGCAGTCCAATGAGGTCCAGTCACAGTGATGTGGGGGGACAGGGACATGGGGGTGGGTGCGGGGCTGACTGCCAGGATCTGGGAGGTTTTGGCTGACAGGCAGATGCTGTGAACACAGGCGTGAAAACCCTGGTGATGGTAACTGGGTACAAGGCGGAGGGCGGAACCACAACCTGAGGTCTTCAGCTCTTTGTAGCCAAGAGACAGGCCAAACCCTTGTTGGTACAAAGACAAAGATTTCAGGTTCTCTAGAGGGCGGGGGGAAAGGGAAGGTACTGTTTAATGGCTATACAGTTTCAAATTTACAAGATGGAAAAGTTCTGGAGATTTGTTTCACAACAATGTGAATATACTTAACATTACTGAAGTATATGCTTAAAAATGGTTAGGATGGTAAATTTTATGTCATGTGTTTTTTACCACAATAATAAAAAAAGATTTTGGGTTTCACATGTTCATGTGGTTTTTGGGATAACAAAGTCACAGAGGCTTCTAAAGAATCTCTCAGGCGGAAGTGGCGGGAGCCATAGCAACTCATGGGATCCAGATGGGGGTCTCACTGACGATATGCTAAGCAGTCAGCAGGGTGGCCTGGTGGCTTCTGGGTGATGCGATGCATGCTTGCCCTGCAGGAGCCAGTGTCTGGCTGGAATGCTTCACTCAGCCCGCTCCCACCTCCTGTGAGAGGCAGCGACGACCTGAAGTGTGTTCAGAGGTGGTGGTGATGTGGAGAAGGGGCTGGAAATGGGGTCTTATAAGGAATGGTTGCAAGTACTGGGTATGTTCTTCCTGGAGAAGATCAGACTTTGGGAGACATAGGGGAGGCCCCTGATGAATTCTGGGGCCCCATAGGGCAATGCTGGGGCTAGTGGGTGGGAAAGGCAGGATGACAGATTTCAGCTCAGCTTTCTCTCCATCAAAGATTTCTAAAGACTGAAAGGGCTACCTCGCGGTAGTGAGCTCTCCAGCACTGGGGGAATACAAGCAGGTGACTTCTCTCAGAAGGATTTAGGCACTGGAAGCCCAGTCAGATGACCTTCAAGTCCTTCCAATCCTGAGATCCCGTAAGGTCCCATCAGGGTGGGGGTGGGCAGAGACAAGATGAACAACAGATCCGGGACTTCTAGGAGCTCACAACTTCTCTAAGGAGACGGAGTGATCAAGACAAGTGTATGTGTATGTGCAGGGGCAGGTGTGACTGCACACAGTCAAGGTGATGGAGGGTCCCCATGAGTGACAGGCTTGGCCAGGCCCATCTGAATGTCTCTCCCAGCTCCTGTGTCCCAGGCAGGCCACAGTGGGACACCACGGGAGATGCAGGGACTGAGTGGCATGGGCAATGGTAACCACAGCCTTAACCCTGAAGGAGGTGTTCCTGGATCAGGAGGCATGAAGTGAGGAGGCAAAGGGCACAGAAAGGGCCAGGGTGGATGGGATCTGGGTATCCCAGGGCTGTGGGGAGGAGGTGGAGATAAGGGGAGGGAGTGGGTGGCTAAGGTGAAGCCAGTTGAAAGGCAGCCCTGAGTGTTGGGGTTATGTTGCACTGGACCCCGCAGTGCTGTGGGCCCTGCAGTCTCCTTGGCAGAGAGGGACATATAAGGCTGCTAGAAACTAGGTCACTGCACTCCCAGAATGTGGGAAGTAAAGAGAAACAAAAGTGAAAGTTCCTGTGCCCAACCTAAGCTCAGAAGCCGACGTCATTTTCCCCACCAGGGCCAGTTCCCTGGGCCAGGGTTTTCAGGACGCGGCCAGGAGGACTTTTTGGTAATCAGGAGGGGAGCTCCCTCTCCCCACCTCCGCTGGGAGGCATGGGGGCCCCAACCCGACCACACTCCGGCTGGCCCCAGGAGTCCCCTCCCACCAGGGCAGCCACTCCCAGCCCAGGTGGCACCTCTGAGCAGGGCCTCAGCCTCAGGGAGGCAAGATATCGCTGGTGACCACACCCAACAAGAGGCACACCCCCTCCTGTAGAAACACCGAACACAGATAAACATAAGGAAAAAAGTTAAAGAAAATCCACCCATCCCTGCATTAGGCAGGGAGAGGCCTCACAGCCACCCCATGATGGGGGAAGGTAGGGATTATGTCCTCATTTTGTAGGAGGGTAAACTGAGGCTCATAGAGGTTGTACTGCTTCACGGTGTCAGCCCAGAATGAGGGAGATCCTTTCTTCTGCTTGCTGGCCAACCATTTCTGGGTGCTGGGCCTGTGCATGATCTTAATTACTTCTCACCACCTTTTGTGGGAGCTTCAACTACTATACCCATTTTTTTGATAAGGAAACTGAGGCTCAAGAAGGGAAGTAACCTGCCCATGTTCCCACAACTGGTCCAGCGGTAGACCCATCAGGAGGGAAACCCTGTCCTTAACCCCACACTACCCCCCATGGTCATGAGACAAAGGAAACTACTGAGAAGAGACAGAGGGGGTCACCAGACCTGGGAGGAGGATCAGGCCCAGTGAGGTTGGCAGCTGCCTTCAAAGCTCTGAGGGGAGAGAAGAGGAGGAAGGAAGAGGAGAAAAGAACCAAGATTCCTCAAGAGCCTCCTCTGAGCCAAACCCTTTATGGGCCCCCAGAGGAAAATCAGGGGCTGTGGAGTAGAAGTTACAGGGGGCAGAACTGGGGCTTAAGGTCAGAGCTGCTGAAAGGTAGCAAGAGCTCCTGGGCCTGGCTCCCTGCGGTGGGAGAAGGCAGCAGGGCGGGCTCTGTGGGGTGGAGGCCCTGGGCAGCTTAGATGGGGCTGAATTTAATGGTCCTTTGGGGCGGAGCTTTTAACTGCTGAGAGGGTGGGTCCCCTCTTCCCTCTTGGCTTTGGCTGGGACAGGCTCCACCCTCAGCATCCATCCTCCTCTGAGGCCCCTAGGGCCCAGCCTGACTCATTTCTCTGCCTCTCCAGACTCCCCACTAAGAAGCCCAGGACATCAGAGGCCAGAGCAGGAACTGTGGACAGGCCCCTTCTGTCCCCTTGGCAAGAGGCTGGAAAGCGACCTGGTCCCGCCTTGGGGAAAAGCTGGTTTTGCTAGTTTTTCAGGAAGAGAGAATGAAAAGTTGATTTGAAGAAAAAAAAAAAAAAA